CATATAATTTAATTATTATATTTCAATATATCCTCACAATAGTGCCATAAATATGGTATTTTGATTTTATTTATTATCAAAATCGGATGCTGATAATGCTTATATACACAGGATTACTAAAGGGAACAATAGAAATTTAACCCTGAGCATTTATATACATATACACAAGCTCATATATTGCAAAACTTTTTGAGGGAGCAAGTCTATGAATTCCTTACTTTTATGCAAAATAACAATAGATATTATATTTCTTTCAAATATGATAGGCTTGAAATTCTCCAAAGATGGATTTAAATGCTTATAATCATATCATTACTAAATACATAAATCTCTGTACTTTTTATTGTTGCAAATAGCTTCAATAGCTGTAAGAATTCAGTAACTTCTTAATTCCTTGTTCTATTTCATTTTTATGTAACTAAACAATGAAAACATATGTAGAAATTCAATAACTTATTTACAACATGTGAACAGTGCATTAATGATTCTGAGGGACCACAGAAGCACATCACCAAATATTTTGAAGATATATATTGATTAGAAACTGAAAGCACAATACAAAGAGAAGTCAAATAATATAATCAATAAATTATGAAATTCAATATCCAAAATAACTTCCTGTTTGTTTCCTTTTATTTTTTTAAGGGAGAAACACCTTTTCTCTTAATTCCCAACTATTATAGGCCCAAATTAAATAGTTATGTAGTCTCAAAAGTATTTTTGCATGTAGATATTAATAGCTACAGTTTTCAAAAATTATAGCAAAATAAGTCTGATGTGATCACATTTAATTGGATCACATTTTTTTAAATTCTGGGTCAAAGCAAAAAAAAATTATACTATACTCTTGAAAACCGTACCACCAGTGTGTTTTGAAAATAATTATTTAGATGAATTTTAAAACTAGAGAATTTTATGGTACAAAGACCTTCCGATAGGTGAAATTAAGTCAGGATGACAAGTAGTGAGTAACTTTTAATAAGCTATTAGTTCCTCCTAGATGATCACAGTTTGAAGACAGCGCAGGCAGCTGGAGGTGTTAATAAAAGTACATTGAACTTAGGGAGATACAAACATGATTTAAATTCAAGACTGATCAGTTTCTGGCTGAATATACCTTGGAAAAATTATTCATTTCTCAGAGTTTAACTTCCCTCATCGCTAAAGTAGAAAAATGGAACAGAATTTGCAGAGTTCTTGTGAGTAAAGGGAATACTGATTACAAAGGGCCCAGGGAACAGTGTAACTGGAATAAGGAGCACTGTTGTTCCTGGTGGTGGTGCTGTGCTGGGGGTGGTTTTTGGGAATCCACTTCATAAGGGCAACGTGAATTCACCCGAGCACCGCTTCCACCCGCGTCGTCTCACAGCCATTGATCACAGCCAGCCCTGTAACAAATATGAACCCCTGGTATCAGTGGAGAGGGGCCCGGCGGGAGTGTGGACGTGTGTCTTCTCTGCTGCTAAGACTACTGGGCTGTTTTTCAGCATGTATGTCCAGCTTTTGTTCAATCACCAGAAACAAACAACAGGTCAGTGAATGAGGAAAGTACAGTTTTAGGATGAAGCACTTCAAATAATGTTGAAGAATTCCTAAGCATAAAAAGCATTATCTTTAATATATTCACTTTCTGAAAGCATCAAAATAACAGAAAGGACAACTTTCTTGGAAATATTAAACATGCAGTACATCTGAAGCCAAAAGAACCCTTCCTGGAGACATTAGTTATTTCCTAGAAAAGGCATGAACAATTATAATGCTCAAGAAAATGTCATATTCACATTTCCTAATCCTTATGTATTTATAAGAACTAAATCTGGTATAATTTTTCTTTGCAGCTAAGCTCATTACATAAAATTTTAATTGTCTAGTGTTTTGATAAGACTGAAATTATTTTCATTCACAGAAATGATGAGAACAGTTGAAAATTCCGAGTTCTATTTAACATATGTGGATGGTTCAATAGACCCCAAAGAGATCCTACTTATTTTCAGTAGACGTAAAAAGTTCATTTATTCTACATCATCTTTTGCATTCATCTTTTGGCTCATATCTCATCAATCTTATATTAGTTGTGAACACACATATAAGAATAATGGCACAATTAATAACTACACTTTGAAGAATTTGTGCAGTAACAAACTGTAGTCAACACTGCCAAAATAATTAAATCTATCCACCCACAACAAACCTAAAATTAAAGAAATACTGAGGATTACAGGTCTTCTGCCAACAAACTCTGAAATTTGAGAAGCTTCCCTTTTTCTTGGCTACAGTTTTGGTCAGCTTGCAAAAGACTACTTCCTGCCATGCATGGAAGTAATTAGGTATTTATTAAATGTAAGTTTTGGCAAGATGAAAAATGTTATCACAAATGTAGCTACACTGTTCCATGTTTCCACTCGCACTGGAAAGAATTTTCTATGCTTCAAATCTTATTCCAGAAGCCCACCTAATATATTTCCATTAAACACTCATACAAAAAAGAAACCACAAAGTGAAAAATATCTTCTTTCACACAGTGGTGTAGGTGGATGTCATGGTGATTTTGTAATACAAGTCTGTATTTCTGAATAAATTGAATTCTAGTTAAGTCAAGCTAAAATCTTTAATAGTCTTTCCCATATGGATGGGGTGAACAGCTTACATGCAGTTAAGAGTGGTGGTTGTTGCTGTACTCAACTGAAATATTCTACCTAATAGAAATGCTTCTGAGAGGATTCATATAAATTAGGCTATCAAATGAAGTTGCATATAAATTTAATGATACTTTCAAAATGGTAGAAAATGTTCTTTCTCTAAAGGAATTGTATAGCAAGTTCTTTAACACAAGCAAATAGTCATTACATACAGTATTTGTTTAAGAAATCTGGTTATTTGTTAATTTGATTTTCTTAAAAACAAACAAATTTTTAATTAAAGAAAATAGGCACAAATGTTTACCTATAGTCTCAGTTACTCAGAAAGTAGAAGCAAGAGGACCATGTGAACCCAGAAAACTGAGACCAGTCTGGAAAACACAGCAAGATCATGAATCAAAATAATAAGGATAATTTTTTAATTTTTAAAGATTTGTGTCAAAATAGACCTTATTAAAAAATTGAATTTTCTTTGGGGTTAAAACTTTATTTTTAGCAAATCTGTTGGTCTCTTCATATAAGTTTCATAATAATGAAGTTATAGCCAGCAAATTCTAAGCTACCAGAGTAATTCTATGGTTCCAACAAAGATAAAAATAAAGACCTGAGCGAACAGGCCCTCACCACCTCCTCTCCCCACTCCCCAACCATCCATCAGCTCCAAGATGGCACTACCTTTGCTTCCCCTTGACATGGGGCAGCAGAGGAGTGGACTAACCAGCTGATCTGGTCCTGGATGAGGACAATGCCTGGGGAGACAGGCAAGCCTGGAAAGCCAGCAGACCCAGAGAAAAAGCGCAGACCTGCCCAGAAACTTTGGGGACTCCAGTGTAAGTAACCCCTAAGTGACTGGGTGAGAGACAACCAAAAGAGATCACAATGGAGAAGGAGTGGCCAGAGACAGATACCCAGAGAAGTGTAGACTTAAGCTTGGAATGACATGGGCCCTCTGTAGGGAGTAACCAGAGCCAAGGAATATCAACCTTAAATCCGACAGTCCACTTCAACCCCCACCCCAGCCTCCATCCAGCAGAGACCAGAGGGCTCATCCTGTTTTCCCATCCACAGAGCAAGGACATTCTTGTATACTGAAGTAAAAGCCGAAAACCTTCTGAATAAGAGAAAAAAAAAATAACACAAAGATAAGTGAGACATATAGAACCCCAAATAGCCACAAGCAGAAAAGAAATTCTCTACAACATATCATAGTCAAAATGCTGAACTGTGGCATAAGAACAGAATCTTAAAAGCGATTAGAAAAAAGCAATGAATCACTTATAAAGGTAAACGTATTAGAATTACAGCATGTTTGTCCACATGAACTTTAAAGGCCGGGAGAGCTTAGCATGAAAGTTTTAAGTCTTAAGAGAAAACAGGCTGATGGCTGATATACTGTGCAAAACAATCTTTCAAAATGGATGGAGAAATAAAAAGCACCTAAAGAAATTCACAATCACCAAAAACAGCACTTGAGAAATTTCCCAAGGATGTCCTAGGAGGACATAATGCAGCTAAGAGTGATAAAAGGTCCAAGAGAAGGAGCGCACCATAAGGGGTGAGCAGTTAAGTAGAAGGGAAAGAGAGGGAATCAGCAAAGAGAAAAGGTAATGACAAGAGTAAGGCACTATCAGTAATAATTTTTAATGTGAATGGTCTCAATTCTCCAATCAAGAGGCAAAAAAAGAAAGAGAAAAAAATGAAACTATGTAGCAAACCTGTATGATTTTGTCAACTTCAGTCCTCTGTTTTGTGCTAGGCGCACCTTAAATCTGAGTAACTACTGATGATAAACAGATAAGCTATACGGAGAAGAGGAAATGTGTTTATGTCAAAAGATTAGCTACTGTTATATGAGGAAACTGTGACTAGGTAATGTCTATAGAAATATTCTCCTAATAATGAGAAGGCTTAGCCCATTCTAGCAACTTTTTTAAAAAGTCACATAACCCAAACTGTTTGTTACAATATTCAGAGAGATTTTCTTTTTCATCTTATAATTTAGATTTCTTCCTCTGTTTAATAATCAACACAGATATATGATGTTAAGGAACATTTCTGTTTGTCCTCTGACAGAAATTTTAGTGTTTACATTTGGAATTACTCCTTTGATTATTTTTGCAAATTTGTTGTCTGAATAACAAGCATATTTTTGTATCTATTTTTTTCCAGAATGTTCATCGGAGTTCAGAGACTTCAGCAAAAGGTAAAACCCACATGTACTCAACTATATTAAAAAGAAAGAAAGAAAAAGTTAAATTGTATATAGCCAAATAACTTTTTCAGTGTTTCAGTCAAATACTACGGTAATAGGTACTCACACATTAAAGACTCTGGGAGGGAAAAAAAATAAAACGCTTTACCAAAACCCTTTTTACTGATAAAAGTGATAATTCTGTAAGGACATAAAAATCTGCATTCTCTGCACTTTTATCCTAACATATTTTACAAATTGGGAACAGTCAAGAGAGCTGTATAATTATTTAAAAATATTAAAAGTATCCTTATAGCCATGTCAAAACATTGTAAAATTTTACTATTAACCTATTGATGCTTTGATGTAAAAAAAAATCAGAAAAGTAACAGATGTTGGTCTCCAAAGCCACTGATTTCAAATTGAAGCTTTATTTGAAAGATCTGATTTGTATAATAGGTAGGAATATTACGTTCTGAAATAATTAGTGTTTACTGGGGCTCTTGGCTTGTGAAATTGCAAGCTACGGGAGGAGCTCACCTCCACAGAAATAGTGAGGATGTGGTCGGGTGGTGTGGAGGAGAAGCCCATCTCCAAATCAGGCAAAACTGCTCTTAAATTTCAACTCTTCCATTTCTTAATTCCATGATCCCAGACCCAATTCTTTAATCTACAGTTATCCTAAAATGTGTGAAAGGTGAGACAGTGTTTCCTATGCGGGCTGTGGTCAGGGCTGCTCCTGTTTGCACAGGCAGCAAAGATTGGCTCTGGATGTTCACCCTAATACCCTTGGATGCAGAGGGGACTGGAGATCCAATGTGCACAGCGGGATGGATGTCCATCCTCTCAGTCCTAATTCTCACCACTGGAAAGAAAGTGGGCGCTCAACTATATTTTAGGAACTCCTCCATCTCCCACCCATCACAGAAGGTAATGGAGGGCCAAAGGGTATGGGGAAAATGACCCGAGTTAGTGTGTAAGTGCCTGTTCTAGGGGTTCAAGAACGTACAGAGCCCCAAAGAGGACTAGAAGGGTGACGTCCCTTACTGTGTCCCTGCAAGGGTCTGTGTGGCAGCCCCTGGAGCGGACAGCTGGGGTGTGCAGAAATGGAACCGGCCTCTCTTCTTTCCTACTTCGAACATGTTTTTTATTTTAAGAAAATGTAAAACAAACGTTCATAAAAATAAGAGAATAACAATAGTTAATACACTGTGTACTGTCATCTTCAAAGAAGAGTAGAAGATATAAACCAAAAAGATACTTATGACAAAGAAAGAAACAGATAATAACTCAAAACTTTTTTCAACAAACTAAGTAGTATAAATGAGACAAATTAGCACATATATTGAAATATTTTTAAATATGTAATTTGGGAAAGTATATGAACTTCTCCCTGCTTCCTATTTATTTCTCTTGTATTTTGCTCTTCATTTGTATTTACCTATATAACTATATTCTATATATCTATATATTATTTATTTTTTGGGGGGTACCAGGGATCAAAGTCAGGACCTTGCTTTTGTGCGGCAGGCAGAGGAACCACAGCACCAAACCTCTGGCCCCAACTATATATTATTTCTGATACAAGAGAAATGATACAATATTTGAACTTGTGTGTCTGACTTACTTCACTTAACAGGAATGTTGTAAGTGTAAGGAGGTCTCCTGTTCCCATCATTTCTCAAGGGATTGGAGCATGAGCTTCCGTAAAAATGTACAGGACTATTCCTGGAGATAAATATTCTATGAAAATCACCACAGATTCTTATTAGTACATTTTATATATATATATATATATATGGAGAGACAGAGACAGAGAGAGAGAGAGAGAGAGAGAGAAGCAGGGAGGGAGATAGATTTCATGGCATAATTATTTTCTCAGAATAAAATCAGATGTGATAAATATTTTTCAATGCATTTCTAGCCCATGGGTCTTGAGTCCCTCATACATTTTGTTAGTGTTGTGTGAAATATATCGTCACTCAAAATTCTAGAAGTAAAGTACAATGCATATGCACCCATCTCTAAGTAACCTCAAAAGGGCAAATGATAACCAAAAACTGTCTTTCCATATAGATTGCAGTTTAAGGATTTATCAAGATTCTGAGTATTCCCTGAAATACCTATAGGGCCTTGAATACAAAAGATCTCCGGTCCAACTTTACAATTTATTTTGCACTACAGTGTGTTTTCGATAGGTATTTGTGGGCACCTTTGCCCAAGATTGGGAACTTTTGACTGGAAGTTCATGCTTCCTGACTCAGAGCATCAGCAGTAAAATTCGGCGACCGAGAAACAAGATGTTTCTGTGAATTTATACTTTTTTGCCTCCTGTGACTCAGGAAAATCCCTATTGATTGGCCTCCAGAGTTTGATGAGATCTCTTTTAAAGCTATTTTGATGCCACCTTTCCTCTTCTGCTTTATTCATTGCTACTGCTGATGTCTGAGTGAAACGTAATTAGAGCTCCTTCTCTGTGCTTCCCCCACAAGCTGTCATGACAAAGGGCATCATTTAAGAGAGAGAGCAGATACATAAAATTGGCACATCTCATCAATGTTGTAGAGATTTATGAATAACTAAGTGAATAACAGCATTGTTGAACTGTAGACAGAGCCCATGAAGGACCCGGTAAGGAAGGCACAGCCAGAGAACACTGCAGACCATTATGGGTGGGTTGCAGGGACAGCAGCTCTTTGTGCCATTTTCTTTTCAAAGCAACTAGAAACCAAAAACCACTTACGTTTTCAAAGCAGTGTACAAGGAAGCTGCGTGCTTCGGCATAAATATTGGTCGCTCATGACTTGGGTTAGCATATGTGGAAAAGCATATGACAGCATATTTTAAGAACATAATATCTAGTCTTGTGCTTAACATCTCCTCAGCCACTAGGGGAAAACTACTAGCCACTATAGCTAGTCATCTTACTTCATGAAAAGTTACTTGAAGACCGTGTTTCCCCCCAAAATGTGACCTAACTGAAAAATAAGCCCCGGCTGGTCATTTCCATGGTGGTGGCCAGTGTCTTGCGGAAGACTGGACCTCACTGCTCTCTTGCTTGGGGGCTGCTCTGTAACAGCAGGTAAAGCAAGGATAAGCTGATTGGGGCTGGCATTTTTCAGCTCTAGTTTTCAAGACTGTTAGGTCTTATTTTGGGGGAAACACAGGAAAAGACCCCCCTTTCAGCAGTTAATGGTGAAATTCAATAAACACTTTGATTTTGAAGAGATTCAGTAAGCATCACAAATTTTTCATTTCAAACTCGTTTTACATGCCAGCCATGGACTTACCACTTTCTTTTTATATCAGCACAGTGTATAAAATGTGTTCAATTAGCGGTAAACAGCAGAGCATAATCAAATTTACCATGATTAACTGTTTAGATTGAATTTGTTTGAAATATTTATATGCTATGTACAAAATGTTTTTTTATCTGAAAATTAATAGCCATACACTAGAACAAATATCATTGCAAGCTACAGTTGATCAAAATGCCAAGTTAGCCCTAAGAAGAACTTCCAATTTGTGGTTCAGAAGCATGCTTTCAAAATACCTAAGGAGTCTATGGAGCATATTGATACCTAATCTACTCGCAAGAAAGCAGACTGCATTCAGGGAACATGGCTCATTGGCTTTGATTGATAAAAGGTCATTTTAATTAAATTTTACCATAAGAAATTCCAAAGCTACAATGGGTAGGTTATGATGCATATGTCCCTTTGCCAACTTCCTGATCTCTTTTTCCCCCTAGGCTTTATGGAGAAAGCAACAACAAAACTGTCCACGTCCATCTACCAGCTAATTGGCATGTACTGTAGCAGCTTCTACACCGATTTTCAGCCGGTCAGGTCAGCCGGAAGCATCCCCGCGGTGCACCCCGGGATACATTCCCACCTCAGCTTCACGGTGTCCGCGGTGCACAATGTCCCAGAGTCGTGGGTGCACAGGTGAGGGTGACCTTTCGCACGAGGGTTCATTACTTTTCCTGGAACTTCTAACTGGATAGGACTTTAGTTATCTTGTTCTTATTTACAGGAACAAGCATTTCATAACATTTTTGAAATCTCCAGAACCACTATTTAAAAACTCAGATTTCCAATGGGTATTTATTTCCCCCCTTCCACTACCTGTGTTAAAACTGGTTGTTATCGTCAATGTGACATCATAGAAATACAAAATACTCATTCTGTGCAGTGGCTTCCCTCAAATTTTCTTTTTCTTGTTTAGATTTAATTGACTAATAAAAATAAAATTAAGAGAAGATAGGAGGGGGGGAGAGAGAGGGAAGGAAGGAGGGAGGAAGATACAGGGAGATGAAGAATTTTCAAAAATAGGGGGAAAAAACTCACCCTGATTCCCATCAATTATAGTGGTAGATACTTCATGAGCTTAGTATTTTGATCAGTAAAATCAACCAAGGATTTTTGTGGTTCAATAAAAGACAGTTATACATGAAAATCACTGGGTTAGGGAGTGAGTTGACATTGTAATGTCATTTTTAATACCATACTTAGGGTAATGTCTCATACAAAAATTAAATTTTTTATAGGTTAGATCTGTACTACTGCTTAAAGTTGAGAGAATAGTAACTATATTTGTTAGTGAATACGTTATGTCTGTTGCATTTGGTATCTCAAATAAAAACTGAAAAAAATTCAGTAAAGATAAATAATTTTAGTGTAGTAAGTATTTTTACACTCTATACATATTTATTAATTTTTAAAGGAAATCTTACCTATTAAAAACTACCATATGCATTTTTTTAGAATCCAGGGGATGATACTTTCATGCGTTTTTCTTTTTGTCAATTTTATCATGAATTTTAAAAGGCTAATCTAATATACTATTGGCAGTTGTTACTCTAATGAACATTTTCGTAACGTTTTCTAACCAAGCTTGTTGGCATTTGTCAGCTCTTCACAATGTGTAGCTCTGGCAACCTCAATTCCTTTCCAGAGAACTGTCTTTGAATTTTCTCGAGACGTGAAAGTTGGCTTCCACAGAGCAAAGATCCATCAGGGAGAGAACAAGTTCATAGGGAAGGGAATATCAAAGACAAAAGAGGGAGTCTTTTGCAACCTAATTATGGAAGAGGTAAACCATTGTTTCTGCCATATTGGTATCCCATGGAAACACATAAGTCCAAGAGTTTGAAAGGCAGGGGGCAGGATCACTGGAGACCCTCCTGCAAGCAGGCTGCCACACCAGGGAAGAAACAGCAAGGAAAAAGCTAAGCCACAGCCATCTCCAGAAGCATAAGTACTGACAAAGCAGGTGCAGAAGATGACAAATGACAACTTTTTATCCGGTTTTAGCTATAATGACTAGATCCAATAGCAGTGAACTAAACTAGTTAAGGCACAGAAGTCTAAAGTAAGAAATAATGAATTTGAAATTGAGTTATGATTTGCTCCATGACTCTGCCTTCAGAAGAGGCCCTAAGCCAGCTATCAAAGACAAATGAATATATATCTTATGATCATCTGATTAAGTAATTCATTATAATGATTAAAAAAAATCCATTCATATTAAACCTAAATTTCTCATAACATTAATGAAAATTATTTTTAGCTTTATTATCTCTACAGATTGAAGGATTGTTGTTCTCAATGTTGAGATAAGTTTCTCTTTTCACCTTTCTATTTCATGGTGCTTGATGTCTTAATAATGGTTCATCATCTGTCCTCCCTCATATGACTATTCACAATATCAAATGACAGTGCACATTTGTGTGTAGGACTGTATTTTTTAACCTCTATTATCCAAGACATTTCCTAGTATGTAAAACACACTCCTACAAGACTTGCTGAAATGTCTAAGTAAACTTTCTTGCACAGAGGAGAGAGTCAGACTTGGTTTGAGATTGTGACATGGGACTGTATCATGGTATCGTCAAGGACAGAAATAGGAGCTGAGCTAGAACCCATGAAAAAGTGACAAATGTAAAGAAAGGTAGCCCAGGGAATAAGAAGACGTATAGTGGAAGCACATACGTGGGCTTTGGGACCAGAAGCCCAGCATAACTTTGTGTATTAACATTCTTGTTGCTGGGACAATATACTTGACATTTACCATTTAAACGTGGAGAGCTTAAATTTTTCTCATAGTTTTAGAAGGTTAGTCCACGTTCATTGATTCCAAAACAGAAACATCATGGTGGAAAGCGGAGCACAGAGGAAGCGGCCAAGGATCAGATATCGAGCCTAAAGTCACACTTCCATGATCCCTCCAAACACACAAAAAAGTGCACTTCACTGATATCCTGAGAAGCTCCCGAGTCAATCAAATTGACAGTTAAGCTTAACAGCCACACTTGGCTATCAAAGCACACGTGCACAGTCTAAATTTATCTTTCATTCATCTCACTCAAGTCTCATTGATAAAGGTGGCTTTTGTATAACCATGCAAGGGAACATATGGAAGACAGGTACAATACCTCTTTATGTATTTATGGTGTATTTATGTGCACACACCAACCAAATATTGGTGTATAGACAATTATAATGGACCCTGAGTCAAAGGGCATTATTAAATATAAAACCATGGCATAGTAGTAAAATATGTAAGTCACAATAAGAAGTAAGAGAGTTTAGAAATTGGGGCCAGGGGTTTAGCTCAGTGGTTTCACCATTTACCTAGCAAGTGCAAGGTCCCAAGTTCGATCCCTGGTACCGCCCCCCCACAAAAAAGAATAGAAATGCAAGAAGAAACTGATGGGCAACTATCATGGCAGGTTATATCAACATTTCTCATGAATGAATGAGGTAAATTGGGACAAATATGGAAGATGGAGCCAGCACAACCAACAGATTTGATCCAATAAATATATACCTTATACTGTACTGGAAAGAAAACTGAAAGTACAGGTTCTTTCCATGGAGGATGTATATTTTAAGTGACCAAAAACCATATTGTAAAACCAGTCCAAACAAATTTCAAATAACCTGTAAATAGAGATTCCATCCATTTTCTACAATGTGACTATAATAGAGATCGATAACAAAATTTATATAAATAAATGTATTTGTAAACTCAGATATGTATTTTTAAACAAACTGAGGAGTCAAAGAGTGTGGGAGTTGGGGTTTCTCCCGTTCGTTCTGTGCTGAGTTGGGGTAAAGGCGATGGTCACTGAATAGCACCAATTCATACCAGTGGCTTTGCTCTCAGCAGCCCCAAAACTAGTCCCTTTACTGTGAAAACTTAGATGCAAGGAAGACAGAACCCACTCCCTTGGGATACTGAAATTAGATGGAAGTCCTGGCCTCTTTCTCTCCCCAGAGGAAAACCAGGAGGCAGGAGTTTCTTCTACGATGCCTCCCTGAGCCAGAGAGGGACTCTGGCAAGTGAGTGACACCATGAAATGCCCTGCTGGCTTTGATGTGGCTGGCTTTGCACTTAAGCTGGGCAGAGGTGTCTCTTCACTGGTTTCTGGGTCCCCCACAGAAGGAATTAACCATGTATTGTTGAATTGGTGGCACTGTGGGCAAAGGAAGATCTTGGTACTTTCTGTTCTGCAGTCTTGCTGACACACTCAACATAAATCCTTAAAGCAATTTGTAAAGCACACTTTACTCAAGCAAACCTGACTTTATCATTTGACTTTTGACTATGAAAGTAATGGACTCAGTTAGAAAACCAGTTCCTTCAATGTGTTAAGTTTACTGAAATCAATGCCATTTCTTTTAGCTATAAAACATTTTCGTTTTCCTGCTGGCTTACATATGCCGGAAAGAAGTTGTGCCAAGTGAGAAACTACAGAAATATTCCGGTCAAAAAATTATTTTTCTTCTTGATCAACTGGAATGAAATGTAAGTTTAATCTTTATTCTGGCTGGATCATTTTTTTAGTAAAAAATAAGCTTTATATTTTTTTCCTTTTTTAAACAATGGGAGTGATTTAAAACGTTACCAGTTGATTTGATCCACTCGTGTGACAAATATAGTAATGCTCATAGATAAGTGGCTGTTAATTCAACAGATTAAAAGTTCATTTAAAAGCCTAGACAAGTGTCCAATCTACACTACTGAACTGAGTGAAAAGGAAGTTGGAAAAGGGAGTTACTAATCATTCACATCTGGTAAAAATCAGAAATCCTCTGTATTTGAGTTGGGGTAGGAAAGTCCATGTACTACACAGAAAATGTTCTGCTTGTAAAATTCTTCAGTGGCCTTTCGATTTTTATAAGGCAATGAATGTACAAATCAGAGCGCAGAGCACAAGGCTTGTATGGTTTGATTCTACTTATCTGTGTACCTTCACTTCTAGAATGAGTACCTCTTCCTCCCACTGCACCTAGCCTATAATTCCAGCATTCAGGAGGCTGAGGCAGGAGGATGGCACTGAGTTTGAGGCCAGCCTGGGCTACGTAGTGAATTCAAGGTCAGCCTGAACTACTACATTACACAGCTAGACTTTGTCTTAAAAAACAAAACAAAACAAAATGTTATAGGCCAGCTTGATTGCTAAAATTATTCTTCTAATTTAACCAAAAATTATTCTTAGTTATTTTGAAAAATTTGATTCATTTTCAGCTCAAAGGTTCATGCTATATCATGTGGATAATTCATATAATTCTAAAACCAATTTCACAGAGAAAAATCTGAAAATAAATTTAAAATAGTATTTTAGAAAATCATATTTTTATTCTGAGTGCTCAAGTATTATCTTTTCTATGAAAGATGTTTTCATTTCTCCAATAGTTTATTACCTCATCCTAGAAACATTTTTTATTTTATCTTATATCATCTTTTAAACATATTTAACATTTTATAGGGCACCTATGACATTCTTTTTGTGTCTTATTAACGTAGTCTTGCTACAGTATAATTGGGAGTAGATTTTATTACTAATTTGTAACTTTAATGATAAAAATTTTTTGGTTTACTAACATAGATTTTGACTTTTATATTCTAATAATCATATTGCATCATTAAGCTATATTATCTCAACCCAATTTACAACAAAAATATGATGCAGGCGGTGTCATTCCCATTTTATAGATCAGGTTTTCGATGTTTATGAATCTTAATTAACTCACTCCATGTCTCATAAGTAGAAAATTGTTTAACTTCAGAAGCATTGTCTTTTCTTTTCTTTTCCTTTTTCTTTCTTTCTGTCATCATGAGGTTTCAACCCAAGGCCTTTGCAGTGAGCTACATTCTGGCCCTTTATTAATTTTTATTTTGAGACAAGGTCTTTTTTTTTTTTTTTTTTTTTTTTTTTT